TATGAGGCCCTGTTGGTTTGTGGTTCCTGAGTTTTTAAAGCAAAATGAGAGTCAGGGCCTTCAGTTATCAGGCCCCTCTCTGTGGAACCAGTCTGGGTTCAGGAAGGAGGAAACTTTCCCTTTAAATGGCTCCATATGGATTGGATTATTTTGGACATTTCTGAACTGGAATGGACTGGATTGTGACCTTTATTCTAATTGGATCGATATTTGCAGTTCAGGGAGATGACTTAAAAGTGATCTGAATTCTAAAAAACTCTTTTTCCGTTCAGAACAAACCAGCTCTGCTCTAGCAAAGTTTATGGATCCACGACAGCTTTGTCATAGAACTAAAACAGAGGTACCATCATCCCCCAGGTCTGAAATACCTTCACTGTGTCCAGCGGGTGTCCTACGACCACGCTGGAGGCTCCTGCAGGGAGAAAAAGGAGAAAAAAATGAAACAAGTCAAGAAAACTCCCCCTCCTGAGCACTTTTCCAGACAAAAGTCAGGACATACTTTTCCCTCCGAGAGGGAGAAGTCTGTATTTCTAGTGACTTATGAGAGATTTATGGCTTTTATGCAAAATTAGAAAGCTGAAACCGAGTTTGAAAGATGTTTGCATTCGCTCCCCTTCTTCTCCAGTGGGACCGTTTTAGCTTTAAGTCTTTGGGAAGGCTGTCCTTATGTGGCCCGGGTCCAAAAGTGGGCCGGGGTGCCCTCGTTGACCCCCTGTTCCTGCTCGCCTCAGTGGTTTGGACCTCACCGGGCAGGCAAACACGCAGCAGACAATCAGCTCCAATTAAATCTGTTTGTCTTCACATCTGTTAGACATTTGGAGGCCGTGTCGAGGTTCTGCGTGCAAACTCGCAAACATGTTTGAGGCTTCCTTTACCAGTCTGGTTCAGTGGAAAGGAGAAAAAAAAGAAGCTTTTTCGAACAAAAACTGATTTGTTTGAGGCAGGAAGCAGCAAGAAGAGCATTTTTTTTAAGGAGTCCACAGTGTTCCTGACCAGTAAAACATGGCAGTATTTTCTAGGTTTCGAGAGAATTTGACAAAACTCCAGAAGAGCCAGCT